AAATATATGAAAAAATGTTCAGTATCACTGGTTATTCGAGAGAAGCAGATGAAAAAAACACTGAGATTCCACCTCACCCCAGAAAGAATGGCTGTCACCAAGAAATCAACCAAGAACAAATATTGGCAGGGTTGTGGGGAGAAAGCAACCCTTCTCCATTGTTGGCAGGCATGAAGACTGGTGCAACCACTATGGAAATCAATATGGAGATACCTCAAACAACTAGTATTAGAGGTCCCATTTGACCCAGCTATCCCTCTGCTGAGTATCTTTCCAAAAGAATTAAAAGAATCATACCACAGTGATATATGTGCACACCCATGTTTATAGCAGCACAGCTTGTAATAGCTAAAACTTGGAAACAGCCCAATTGGTCATCTGTTGGAGACTGGATAAAGAAGATGTGGTTTTTCTGTAAAATGGAGTACTACTCAGCCATAAAGAATGAGAAACTATAGTGATTCATAGGAAAATGGATGCATATTGAGGCCATACTATTAAGTGAAATAAATAAGACACACATGTAAATACTGAATAGTTTCTCTGGTGTGAATAGGAAGAAAAGGGATAAAGGTGTAGGGGAAATGGGAAGGGTAGGGGAAAGGAAATAAGGGAAAAGAAAAAATAATATGAGAAAAGGAAAAAATGGAAATAAAGTTTTTGTAAATAGGGAAGGGAGGAGGGGGTGAAGGGAGGGCAGGGTATGGGGGAAAATGAGAACCAAGATCTGTCATGTAAAGATATAAGTTCCCAATGAGGAATGTAACTGTACTGTATAACTAAACTGTACCAATAAACTCAATGAGGAAAAAAAAAGACCAAAGTTTCTCTGGTGTGAAAAACTAAAACTGTAAATAAGATCCAAACTGTATAACCGATAATATGAAATAGGAAGAAAAGGGCTAAAGGTGTAGGGAAAGTGGGAAGGGTAGGGGAAAGGAAAGGAGGGAAGAAATGAGAAAAGGAAAAAAATGCAAAGAATGTCTTTGTGATGAGGAGAGAGAGAGGACAAAAATGTACGAGGAAAAAATGAGAACCAAGACCTGTCCTGTAAAGGTACAAGATCCCCATGATGAATGCAAGTGTACCTTATAGCTAAAATGTACCAATAAACTCATTGAAAATAAATAAACAAACAAAGGTATATAGATTCAAAGGCAGGGGTGAAAATGGCTGTCCAGATTCAAAATGGAAAGCCAGAGTGAATCCTCTAAACTTAAACAGAAATAACTGTTTAAAGCAGTGTTGAAGACCTACATATCTTTAGACTAAACCTGGACATGCTGACCTCTTGTCTGTGGCCATTAATTATCTTGAATCATAGGAAATTTACAAAGAAATTAGGGATTTTGTTCCTTTTAAAACTCAAAAAATCCCTGGGGTTTCTCTTTAATGGCTTGCCAATTATGAAACCAAAGTGGGTAAGTTGAAAATCCTAATTATTCAGTCAAATTATAGAGTGCCAACTTTGGACTAGGCTCTGGGGGAAAAAATGAGGAGACAAATACAATGTTATCAGGACAGAGCTCCCCGCCTGTCACCTGTGCTGGGCAGCACCGGCAGCACCTGTTCAGGGCACAGCGACAGAGCTCCCCAAGCTTTCGGTCCTATGGGCCATTCCCAAAGACAGCTCCTCAGCTGCCTGGCTCATGTAACTCCCTGGTTTAGAACACAGAAATCACCTTCCCATGAAAGCAATGCCACAGAAGGGTTCTGATCCTAGCTAAGTCCTTAGGTCACATACATTTGGTGCTACCAAGATCTGAAGAGGTATCTTGTTTCGTGTTAGGCTCACAGAATGTGCAGTATTAAACTGTACTTTACAATATTGAGGTCTCTACCACCAACTGAAACATCCAACAGTCAAGTTACACTATATAATGCGAGGGATGTGATTTCCACATGACAAATGTGTGCTGGGCAGTCAGTCCCAGTGTGGTGGTGTTAAGAGGTGGCGCGGACCCTTTAAGAGAGGAAGCCTAGTGGGGGGTGATGACGTCACAGGGGTGGTGCCCTTCAAAGGCGTTAACCCTTGCTGCACCGAAGAGCACAGAGCAAGCTCTTGGAGAGAGGGCAGCGTGAGGCGGCCTGTTCTCTGGCTTTCCGACTCACCAAAGGATCTCTCACACTGGCCCCTCCCAGGATGTGACAAGGCCGAAGGACCCTACCCTCACCAGAGCTGGCACTGTGCTATGTGGATTCCAGTCTTCACAGCTGTGAGCTAAATATACCTCCTTAAAAGAAATAAAAGCACCAGTTTCAAATATTTTCCTTCCAGCAGCACAAAGGAGATGCACACGGCTAGGGATGGGTGAAATTAGCTGCGAGCCAGCACCCGCCATCCTGAATGTTTCCAGGATAAGGAGGAATGAAGGGGCAGAGCCTCTCTAAGGATGCTCAGAAGGCAGGGGTCACCTCCTGGACAGCTCATCTGCCTGTCAGCCACCGGCCTCTTGCGGCCTTCGTAGCTCTGGCAACAGTTTATACTGTTGTTTTTCCGAAATCCTGACTGACATACTGCCTGGTTATGTCAGGGAGTAGAACAGTGTTCTTACATAGCCCTCACTTTTGTAGGCACATGTTTTCAAGCAGTAATCCTTGCTCTAATAGCACTTAAGTACATTAACTTGCATTAATTTTTAAACACGGTTTTTATGAATTTTTATTTGCACTCGATGCACAAGCCACATCTTAATTTTTAGATCCCCAAAGATTATCAACTCAGCATGTGACTTGTAAAACAATAACCTCAGACCAGGCCCAATCTGCTATAATGCCATACATCCATGTGTAGCTAAAACAGAAAAATAAGCTATTCTAAACAAGCACATGAGGCTCTGAGAAAACATTTCTAAAAATAATTTTGTTTATGTTTCGGAATAAGGAAGAAAAACATGCAATATAATAGGTACTGCCTGAAGGAAGTCATTTACTGGCTCTGTGTCAAAGTTAAGCAAATTCTTTCTTCCAATTCATTAAGAATGGCCTCAAATTCAGAGAATGTGGATGCTCTCAAGGTCATGACCCCAAATCATTCTAATAAAATGCTGTTTTCAGACTCAGTACTAGGTTTTCAATATGAAATACAAAGTGTTCTCTAACTCAAAATGTCCTCCTTTCTTCTGTTTCTTCACCAGCCATGGAAAGAAGCAGGTTGACACAGATAATTCTCCTGCCAGTGGTTTTCCTGGACCATCATAGGGAGAGGCTATTTAAGTACTCAATAAACCTTAGCTCCTAAATTCTGCTCTATGGATCCCAAAGATTCTAATGAACTCCCAGAAGGATCTAGATATACCCTTTCTCTGAGCAGCTCACAGGGTAAAAGATCTCAAACTAAATCCCCTGGGAGAGGAAATGCTATATTGCTACACTCTGGTATTCTCCAATAAAATCTGTGCTTAGAATGTGCGCTCCAGGTCTCTAAGGAAAGAAAGCAACTGCTAAGAAGGAGAAAGACAAGTTGTCACAGTAGGTAGCTAGCATGTAAGGAAAAGCCAACTAGCAGTGGAGACATGGGACCCGGAAAAGCCTGCGAAGCACTGCATGACTTTGGCTCCTGTGCCTCCCTGTCCCTTCCCACGCTTAGGGGGAGACATAGTTGCCCATACTTATGACTGAATGACGATTCCCAAAGAATGCCTGGACGATCCATGTTAGTATCCCTGGAAACTGTAAGACATGTCAGTTCGCAGGTCCACTCTGATCTTGCTAAACCAGAAACTCTGAGGGTGGCCTAGCAGTCTGTGTTTGTGCAAGTCCTACAAGGGCTTCTGGACCCAGCCACATGTGAAAACCCATGTCCTAGAATGAATTAAAGTTATTGTAGTGTAGTTCCTCTCCCAATCCTTACTGATACCTGGATAATGAGAAATCTGTTCTCCTCTTAAAGAAATGGCAAGGGTCTGTAGGCTAAGGGGGAACAAAGATACGGGGTCTGCCGTCGCTTTGTGCCTAAAGTCACCCCTCTGCTTTCCCACTCATTACTGAATCTCGTTAAGAATCTCTGTTATGGACACCAACAAAATGAAAGGAGGAGCCGTCAGAAATAGGTCTGATCTTCCCTAGGACCCAGTGTATGCCAGGCAGCTTACTGCCATTTAACCTTTCCCTTCTCCACATACAAGCAGCATTAGCAGTAGTGCTAATAGACCGCGTGAATCAAGAAAACCTGCCAGACTTGCTCTCCACACAGCTGAGCCACCACTAAAGCTTCCTCACTGCTTTCCCACTGAGGTATTTATAAGCAGGGTCAAACTGTAAGCCCACACACAATACGACATTAATATATTAGCCCATATAAAGTTTAAACTTTAAAACACATGCCTTTAAATCATTGAAACTCAACTTTTTACATAACACTTATGCAAGCTCCCCCTATTAATATCCAAGCCTTTAAAAAAGACACTTTTAAAAATCTTGGTCAATATGCCACATAATTTTTAATCCAACACTAGAAGTTTTTCCATTTAAAAAAAAGCCATTCACGTACAACACTTCCATGTACTGCCAATGGCTGCTCTTACTTCGTTTCCAATGTTGTAGCTTAAATTTGAATAACTAAAAATCTGGAAAAACAACAGCAACCAAAAGCTCACCATGGGAGATTTGGAAATCAAACTGCAGCAGAAAGAACCTCTCTGTACAAAGTAGATGTATCCGTATATCCTACTGCCATTGTATGGCGCAGCCCTTAATGAAAGCACATGGGAAAACCGAGCACTGCCTACAAGCCTACAATTATTAGCCACTTGATACTCAAGAAACCAGTCCTGTGTCTTCTGGGACAACCGTCCTCACAGGAAAGTGGGCAGTGTTGAGTAACCAACATTATTTTCTCTCTGTCTTCATTTGTAGAATCATATCCTCACTGTTGTTTTGTCAGCTTTAAATCCCAGTCATTATAAATCTAGCCACTTCCTTCTCTAGTAGTAATTGGCATTAGTCATAAGCCAGAAATGAGTCCACATGAGAAGTAAAATAAACTCAGCCCTTCTTACCTTTCATGCCAAACTTGGAGTGTCTTGCCAACTTAAGCAGGAACAGCATCACCAGCAGACAGAATCCCACCACAGACGCTATCACCACCACAGCATAGACCTGTGGACAGGAAGAGAGGCCTTGATAACCCTGCTAACCAGCTCCCTGCAATGATGATAATGCTGAGGTGGCAGCTAAGGTTTATTGAGTACTTAAGAGTTTCTGTTATAACAGCTTTAACAAGTCAATTCACTTAATCCTTAACAAATGTGCTAAAATAATACAGGTCATATTATATATAGTTTACAAATGGAAAAATCATAAGCTAAAGTTTATAAAAATAGGTATCCAATTGAGTTTCACACAGACATACTTCTATCTATAGCTGCAACCACAGATCCATCCATCTATCCATCCACCACCCACCTACCCACCCACCCTCCTATCTGGAGAGAATGACTTGTATCACTCAAGGCAGAGAATGTCTTTGCAGTTTGAGATCTTGGTCTGAGAAATAATGCTGTGTTGCAGAGGTTGGGTTGTGGGCAGAGAGAATATGAAACACTAATGGTAAAATAGTGATAATTTTTGAGTGTGGTAAATGATACAACAGGGTTGTTTTACTACTCTTTTTGTACATGTTTGAAAGTTGTCCAATAATACAAGGTATTTTTGAGATTGGTATTGTCACTCTTAGACATCAGGGTACCCTGGGAGCACTGAGTCAGAAAGAGCAAAGCACTTTGGGTTGAGTTCTGCTTATGAAAGCTCTCATACACTTGTGACCTGCACACTTCCTGTATGGATGATACAGCCAAAAGGGGTTTTAAAGTTTTTCTAAAAAGGGATTTCAGGGCCAGGGATTTAGCTCAGTGGTGCCTCACAAGTACAAGGTCCCAAGTTCGATCCCCGGTACAAAATAAAAGCGGTGGGGGGTGGATTGCAAATGCAGCGTATGCGCGTACAAAGGGTAGATATACAGATGCTATCGCACACGGCCCTGAGATGGTGAGGACACAGACATACATGGTCATTCCACTCACATTACCATCACTATCCCTCAGGATGGCGAGGCTACCCTAAATAGAGCCTCACATTCTGGAACAGAGACATAAACAGCACTGCGCAGCATCTTTCAGGGTTTTGGGAAGAAGCAGTTCCATGTCCTCGCATTACCATACGACTTACAACGGATGCTTGGTGATCAATACCGGAATACAGGGATCAAAAGGGCTTCAAGGTGGTAGGAGTCAAATGTGGAGGGAGTCAAGTGTGGTTTACTATTGCCACCACAATGCTGGCCACCCCCAGATTTATCTGATAGAACAGAAGATCAGCATTTAAAAATTATCAAATTATCCTATCTGACAAGTATAAATTGCCATATTTCTCAGCACTAAATTAGTGTTTTCAAAAATACTTTGCCTTGACAAATTTTACCTCAACATTGTTTGCCTCTGTAAAGCCAAATTATCTGCACAGAATCATTGACCACCTAACACTGCTTTACCCTAAAAGGAAAGAAGAGAACTTTCCACATTATAAATAGGCATTTTACCTAATCTAGTTATTTGCACTGGGCAACAATTCCACTATAGCCTATCTGACAGGGCCCTCCTGGTCCGGGGGACCCACCACCAAGTGACAGCACTGCCTGGGCTCAAGTACTGCCACTTCCCAAGCCCACGTGGTGCAAGGACCATGTACAACTTCGTGCCATCCCTAAAATCCGGCACCAAACCTCAGCCCACACTAGGGGGCTTGGGAGCTCTGGAAACCACCCCGCCTTCCAAGGCCATCATCTTCTAGCCTTCTTCTACCTTCCAGACCAACCAGCTCCCAGGGAGCTAACACCAGGTGTGGGAGCCGAGAGAGCTGTGCAGTCATCGGCCAGCCTTCCCTAGCCTGACCATGAACCTGGCTGTTCTGAGCTCTAGGCTCAGCCTGATACTCACTCCTGTTTCCCATGCTTCCGCCCCCTCACCTGTTTGCCCCAGTGACCCTTATACTTTCCCTGTTGTGCACATGAAAACCTGGTCATTGTTAATTTTTGCTCTTTGATTCAACCACTGGGGAGGAACTGCCATGTGCAGGTGGTGACTGTTGAGCTCGACAATATGCAGATCTACTCTGTCCAGTGAAGAGGACGGGACTCAGCCACCATCGATGGCAGTCTGGAAATACACTATAGGAGAATTCAGCCAAAACACCCATGCCGGACAGACTTTCTAATCTTGTCCGGTCGACTTTAGTTGGAATACGTCACTGGGCTTCATCTTCTTTCAGTTTTGCTCAGCCCAAGATCTTGCTGCCAAAATAAACAAACAAGCAAATAAACAAATAAATACAAGCTGCCCGGAAGTATTCAGGCTTAGCCAGCCGTACAGTCTATGTTACAACCGCTCAGCGGAGGAGCAGCCTGAGAGCAGCCACAGAAGACGGGGAAGCCAGCGATGTAGCCATGTTCTACTAAGACTGCATCTACGAACACACACGAGTGACTGGAATTAGATATAATTTCACAAGTCTGGCTCTACACTGTCTCAGATATCCACACTGACTTAGTCTCTTTAGCTTCACTATTTCATTTAATCTGTAAAATAACCCTTAACTCTTACAGTAGCATGGCCCTCGGTGGTAATCATTAGCACTATTCCCCATGTATTCCAGTTTTCTCTCTGCGTTACTCTGTAAAATGTACCTCCCGGCCTGCTCAGGAGACCTGTGTCGCCAGTGGGCAGAGAACTGCAGTTCTGTCAACCAGAAGCAGCGTTGCCAGCCTAGAGACCTTGGCAATTCTGGGTTATCACAGTTGAGAACCTAGTGGATAGAAGCCAGTGGCTAGGTCAGGGATCTTGAACAAAAAAATCATCTCTCCCCAAACGCCGGTAGAGCCAACGCTGAGAAGCCTGCTGCACTTATTCTAGAATTCCTTCCTCTGTGTCATAACAGATGCAAACTTTCTATTCTAGATGTAAGATAATGCTCAAAAGAGCTCACAGCTAAAGGATATACCAAAGCATGAAGGAACCTTATATGGCTTTAAGCCACTAAAACCTGAAGATTTGTGTTACCACAGCATAGCTTATCCTGAGTGATACTCATCTCATAGTGAGGTACTGCACGCCAAAAAATATTAAGAGCCCTGGCTGCTCCTGAGCATAAAGTTAGATTTACCACTTACTACATATATCACTTCAGAATCACCTACACCCTGCATCTCACAATCCCCATGTATAAAACAGGGAATACGATACTCACTTTGTAGTTTGTTGTAAATCTAAAATAAGTGAATGCAGATAATGGCCTTGGAACTGTGTCTACTATCATAGATGACACATGAATATGAAAGATGCCAATGCCATGATGCTAAGACTAAACGTGGAGAAATTTAAATAAGAAGCCCAAGGCACACCTCCCAACCATGGAGTGTGAACCAGTTTGTCCAGGTACAAAACATGTGATTTGCTCACGAAACTTCCTCACCAGGTGCTTGGTTGAAAATGAAGGCGTAAAAGTAAAAGCACATAGCTGACCCTCCCGTGATAACACCAGCCTGATGTCAGAGGAGGGCAGTGCTGAGAAAGCCAACAAACACAAAGCAGGACAAGATGGAGCGGCAGTCTGAGGTGCCTCTCCCTGGTGCTTTCACCATGAGTCGCTTTCCCAGAATGTGCCAGTGCAATACAAACTGAAGTCCTTCTCAGCAGCCTTTATACACACAGGCAGCGATTCTGCCAATGCTAACTGTAGATCAGCTTATTCTAACAAAGACTTTCCCTTCGAACTTGCCCAGTGGGTTTGGTTTTTCTTACTGTTGTTGCTGCCTGATCTTTACTTACATCTGATTTTTCCTGAAAAAGAGTCAATACTGCCTTGACTGCAATTTCTCTATCTCAAGAAATTCAACATTGTACAAGTAGAAGGAGAATGCCTAAATAAACACATTCAAATGCTATTTTTTGGACAAGAAACATGGAATGGACAGAGGGGGATGACTTGCCCAAGTCCCCTGACCTCTCACCAAGCACTGGTACAGTCTCTTACTCCCTTAAAGAGTCTCTGGACAGCATTCAGGATCCCTGAGTCCCTGTGCCCAGATGGGAGACCCAGAAACAATGTTCTTTAGTTAGAGCAAACACTTCTCCAAGCCTCCACTTTCTCATTAGATAATCGTTACTGGATGTGTAACCCCTCCTGCAGAACAGGAAGGGGCGCTACTGCTGAAAAGCTGCTCAAGATTTGCAAATTGATATTTAATTCTGTTGAAGTGATTTTGAATCAAAAAACTTGAAGGAGCAAAGGCTCCTGTGAGAGTATCGCTTTTTCAAAAAGTGATAAATGTAGTTTCAGGTACTTTGCCTGTGTTGGAGGGAAAGAGGATGTTTATGTGAGAATTTGGTGAGTTGGATGGTCAGTTGGTTTTCACTTGAAAATGTCTTTTAAAACAGAACAAATGGGATCTGTCCTTTCCTGCAAACCCAAACAGGAGTGTGAGGAGCCATTACTGGGCCCGAAGGCCAGCATTTAGGGCTCTCAAATGCCCTGACAACACCTGCAACCTCCCCAACTCTGAGACTCTTCTAATAAAATAGTCTTCCCAGTGATTGGAGACTGTTTATACCACAGATATGTGGACCACACCAAATTTTTAACTTTTCTTTAAATTTTGTAAAACATGGTTTTGCATATCTGATACAGGATTCTAGGGGCCCCTGACAGGCTTTGAAGGCCGACTGTTTTTACTGATACTGCCTTTTGGCACTATAAATAGCTTGAATGTCTTGAGACGTGCCAATCGGGACTTCCGTCTATGATTGGCACTAAAAGAGACTGAAGTTAATATATATTCCTAGTAATTGAAATAAGTGCACATCAGAGGTTCAGCTCCTGAAGCTTGGGCTTCTTACATACACAATGTTTTGAAACCGTGAAATATTAAATCATAGAGACCAACTGATCATGGCATTAGTTCTTGGTACATCAGGGTCATGCATATGGTGATCTGTGGAAGTCTGTAGTGTGTGCGCGTGTGTACTTGTGTGTGTGTGTCTATACTGGATATGTGCACCTGCATCTGTCTATGAACTTTCCATTCCCAATGTCATGATCTAAGTTCAAGAATATAGCACCGAACACCTCAATAATCACTCCATTTCCAATCTCTGCCCTACCTGTCCCATAGTGTCCACCATAAATATAGCCAGTCTGTAAGACTTACTGAGTGGCTACTAGATGTCAGGCAGTATTCTCAGAGGATACAGGTACACACACACACACACACACAACACACACACACACACACACACACACAAAACACACTGACCAGGCTACCTATACAATAGCTCCCCTTTAACTGAAAAAGAGACAGTGCAAGACCTCTAGAAGATTCCTGAAAAACAAGGACAGAACCAAATTCTACATACACTGTCTTTTCCTATACAAATATACCTATGCTGAAGTTTAATTTTTTTCACCTCATTGAGTTTATTGGTGCATTTGAGGTATACAGTACAGTTACATTCATTATTGGGACCTTGTACCTTCACATGACAGGTCTTGGTTCTCATTTTTTCCCCTTATCCGTGCCCTCCCTTCACCCCCTTCTCCCCTCTCCATTTACAAACATTTTTTTCCATGTTTTCATTTTCTCCTATTTTTTTCTTTCCCTTATTACCTTTCCCCTTCCCTTCCCACTTTCCCTACACCTTTAGCCCTTTTCTTCCCATTTCACAATGTTAGTTTCTCATTAGGATCTTATGTACTATTATAGTTTATTCACACCAGAGAAACTATTCGGTATTTACACATGTGTGACTTATTTATTTCACTTAGGAGTATATCCTCAATATGTATCCATTTTCCTATTGAAGTTTAATTTATAAATTAGGCACAGAAACAGGTTAATAGCAACAATAATAAGAATAGAGCAATTATAATGATATGCCGAAATAAAAGCCTATGCTTTGGAGCCATTATTAACTGCAATAAGGCCTGTGATACCATGATAGTTGATCTGATAAATGAGCTGGTTACTAAGTAATTATGGGCGGGTACTTACACAGCAGGGATACTCTAGACAAAGTATGGGACAGAGAAATTATGTGATATTTCATCACACTACTCAATTTAAAAATCTGTGAGTTGTTCATTTCTGCAATTTCCCATGTAACATTTTTAGTCTCAGATTGAACTCAAGTAACTGAAACTAAGAAAACTGGTGCTACAGATTAGGGGGAACTACTGTAGTTAAAACTCCTATTACGGAATCTTGAGAATGGGAGAAGGTATTAAACAGGTAAACAAACACATAAAGTCATTCCACCCAGAAGGAATGGCTGCTGTCAAGAAATCAGCCAGTATCACTCCAATGTTAGTGGAGCTGTGGGCAGAAAGGAACCCTTCTCCATTGTAAGTGGGAGTGCAGACTGGTGCAGCCACTGCAGAAATCAATATGGAGATACCTCAAACAACTAGGATTACAGGTCCCATTTGACCCAGCTATCCCTTTGCTGGGTATCTTTCCAAAAGAATTAAAAGACTCATACCACAGTGATATGTGCTCACCTTTGTTTATAGCAGCACGGTTTGTAATAGCTAAAACTTGGAAACAGCCCAAATGCCCATCAACTGGGGTCTGGATAAAGAAGATGTGGTTTTTTATAAAATACATTACTACTCAGCCATAAAGAATGAGTTATTTATAGCTAAATAGGTGCATATTGAGGCCATGCTCTTAAGTGTAATAAATAGGACACATATGTGTAAATACCAAATAGTTTCTCAGGTGTGAAAAACTGTAAGTGTAAATAAGGTTCATTGTACAATTGATATTGTGTAATAGGAAGAAAGGGGCTTAAAGGAGTAAGGGAATTGGGAAGGGAAGGGGAAAGGAAAGAAGGGAAAAGAAAAATATGAGAAAAGGAAAAAATGAAAACAAAGTCTTTGTAAAGAGGAGAGAGTGGAGGGCGTGAAGGGAGGGCAGGGGTAAGGGGAAAAATAAAAACCAAGACCTGTCATGTAAAGGTACAAGATCCCAATGATGAATGTAACTGTACTGTGTACCTAAAAAGTACCAATAAACTCACTCAATGAAGAAAAAGTAATTCCAGGTGCTCATTAGAAAAAGGGGGCAGTGGTTGCCAGCCACCTAGCCTCAGTGACCTTCTTAAAACCCAAATGTGGTCAGCAAGCTGAAGCCACGTGTTCCTCTGGGGAGTGAGCCTGAAGTATTCGAGGGAGTATTCGAAAGAACAGGTAGCAAAACGTGAGACGAGTACAGGTGATGATGTCAGAGAAAGGAGCAAGGACAACAAGATCACCGAGGGCTTCACAAGCCACCATGAAGAATTTAGCTTTTATAAGAGAAGTTTTATTTAAAGTGCATCAAGAAGACGGGGAATTATAATAAAAAAGCATTCTGAGAAACAATGAGAGAAATTCTGAATTTGAGAAAATTCTGTCATTTGCATAACATGGAACCTAAAGGAAGTGGTGCAGTCAAGCGTAATTGTTAGCTTACTTGGCTTGGGAGCCTCCGAGAGGATTAGACACACTTTCCCAGTGTGTCTGTGTGGGTCATGGAGGAAGGACCTTGATGTCTGCATCTGGTCTTTGGCCCTTTCCTCTCTAGCACTATTCCCTGGCTCTGTTTCCCAGCTACAAGATGAGCAGCTTTTTCTCCCAAACCATTCGACCATGATGCTTCTGCTTTGAAGCCAGCCAACCATGGAATGAACCCTCTGTAACTGTGAGCCAAATAAACCACGTCTCCTTTAAGTTGTGAGTGGCAAGTATTTGGTCCCATAAATGAGAAAGCTGATTAATATAACACAGGTTATATGAAATAAGCCAGGTACAGAAGACAAATACTATATGATCTCACTGATCTGTGGCATATAATAAAGTTGATGTCACAGAAGCAGGAGGTGGAATGGTGGCCAGGAGAGGCTGACATGTGGGTGGTGGCCTTGGGAGGAAGAGAGGGTGGCCATGAGGTATAAAGTTATACTTTGGTTGAGGAATAACTTCGGGCATTTTGCTGCATAGCAAGGTGGCTATAGTTAATACTAGCATATTATAATTTAAAAATAGTAAAGGAGAGAACTTTAAATGTTCTCATCAAGAAAAATAGCAAATACCTCAAATGATGGATATGCTAATTGCTATGGCTTGATTATTCTACGATACATGCAAATATGGAAATAGCGCTTTGCTCCCTAGAACTATATAATCATCATTTGTCCATTAAAAATGAAATAAAACCTAAAAATCAAATGACGTTTGAGCTTCAGGTCATTCAGGGTGCTAGGTAGAGGGAGAGCAGCAGGTAATAAGCATGAGGGAGCGAGGCGATCAGAGGCTACGGTGTCACTCAGGAAAAAGCAGTTGTAGCCAGCTTCTCTGTAGGAGCGAGATAGCAAGTAGTGTCAGCTTTACAGGCCACACGGTCTCTGGTCTCTGCTGCAGCACTCCACCCACCACCACAGCACAACAGTAGCCACAGACAGTATGCAGATGAGTGGGCATGACTGTGTTCCAATAAAACTTTATTCATGGGCACCGAAACGTGAATTTCATGGAATTGGTATGTGTTTGTGTTTTGATTTTAACGTAAAAATATTCTTAGCCCGCAAACCTCACAGAAGCAGGCAGTGAGCCAGACTGAATCCACAGGCCCAAGGTGGCCGATCTTTATGTTAGCCTACAACAGTGGCAGCCAAGAAGGAGACATGTGGATAGCTTTGAATTTAGGAGGCAGAGCTCACAGGAAGTGCTGTCTGCACACAACAAGGGAGGAAAAGAAGAGATAGGAGGAGGCTCTGCGTTTGGATCAGAGCCACTGACAGGCCAGTCACAGCTTAGACCCTGGGGTCTGTGGCCACCCTTCAATTTACTCCTCATCACAACAAAACTACACACCTGGACTGAGTTTCAAGACCTGCACCTCTGACCTTCCCTGGAAGTGCGGCCCTGCACGCTCTGTACCCTCAAAAAATCAAGCATCTGCATTGTGTTCTCCAACCTGCAAGTTCGTATTCAAACACCCCAGCCGCCCTTCCCTTCCATTCCTGTATGTCCACCCCCTAACCATCCGGCATGAGTCACACAAAACACATCACATCTAGGATTTCCCGGGGGAAATGCAGGCTTCTAAAATACTGATTTGAGTTTCACTCATACATTTACATGCTCAGAAGTTCCTGAATTCCTTACCTATGATGAGCACTCAAACTTTTATGAAAATATTTAGGAGGTGAAGATGTGTCCCCTGCATGCAAACACTGGTTTCTTGATCAGGTGATCACCTTGTAAAGGACAGATACAGTAGACTCTTGACTTATGAACTGGCTGGTTCCCAAGGGCTGGTTGTAATTCAAGTTGGTTGTAAGTCAATACAGAGGAGATCTGGATGTTTACCTGGGCACATGCCATGGATAACGACAGCAGATGAATCCTAACTAACCCAAGCTATTCGAGTGTCATCGGTCGTAATTGAGGGTCCACCATATGTGAAATAGGACTCACTAACAATTAAACATTGTAGACAAAAGGAAAAGCAAATAAACAGGAGGCTAGATAATTCCTTTATTGCTTTTCTTATATTTGCTACCCTGTTTGCATCTGAAACATAAAAATATCTTGAAGAGGCAACCACAGTCCTTCAACATGTGATCCACTGAGATAGCTGGGCTGATCTAGGAAACACACGGTCATCACACTCACCGAGAGATGTTCCCGGCCAGTTTTGTCAGCAACTGTGGAAGGGGTTTCACTGCTTCTGTTCGTGGTGTCACTTGTTGTAGTCCAGTCTTAAATTAGAGAAAGGGGAAAGAAGGAACATGGAGTTTTTACTAGGCTGCCAGCATACAAGAGGCCATAATAAGTGCCAGCAGGAAGCAAGACCAATTTTCAAAAGCCAGGGTAGCAACAACCTGGCCAGGGGTACTGAGTTAAATCCACTTCCTCTTGGCAACTGCAGGACGCCAAAGCTTTATTCAGCAAAGATCTTTACATCACTGTGTTATTGGTCAAGTTCTAAATCTGGTTTAGAATTTCTTTTTTGCACTGAATACATCCCTTTATTGGTGGAATTTTCAAAACAAACATGAAAGGGAATTGACCTTTTAAAAGCTGTGGGTTTATAGACATGCAAGAGTGTTCAGAAACCGAGTCTGACAGCCATTTTTAGAGCTGAGGATTGTCAGCTGAAGAAAGTGACATGGCTTATCTGCAGCCACCTGATAAAAAGGGAGCAAACCAGATTTCAAGGGGGCAACACTAATTCCTGGGCAGGTGCCTCTTGTAAAGAATAAATGCTTAGGATGGAATGGAATGTGATATAAGCATCAGCATAGAATTTGGGTCCACCAAGAAACTTTCTGGAAGAGTTCAAAACTGCCAATATCTCAGTTTCAGAATCGTTAGTAACTATAGACTAACACAATGCTCAGACTTTTAAGAATGTGTTCTCATTACACCAAGCCCCAAATCAATTTCAGTCTATGTAGATTGGGATGGATAAATGACTGATTTTTTGGTGAGTAAAATTCCTATTAGCAATATCCCCTGAAAAATATTACCAAGAAAACTCTTGCTGAACTTACGGCACATGACGTTGTCTATAATTGTTTATATTTTAAGCCTAAATAGGTGCAGCACCTTCTCCATCCTGAACAAACTGCACCATTAATTCGGCCTCAACTCACCTTCTCCGGGTAGAAGCATTACACTGACCTCAGGGCAGGCAATTTAAAGTACATGATACCTTTATTAGCAAGGTGCTCCTCCCAATGGGAATGAAAAATAACAGAAAAAAGCACCTATTTTCCACTTGCTGTTTTATTCTTGTAAAACTTCCTGATTTCAAACATGAATCTACATCATTTTTAGTTTTCCTTCTTTATGTTATCACCAACGCCTTATGTGATATTTAAATTACTAAAGTATCTAGCAGTTAGTATCATGACATTTTAGCCCAAGGATCAAAGTGTAACTTGAGGTCAGTAGGAAGATGACATGTTTAAAATCTTGAGGATACTCAAGAGAAATCCAAAGCATAATTTTAAAATGTAAAAAAATCACAATTCTCACATAATCTTCTGTGATACAATCTGAGATACTGTTTCTTTAAATTATGTCAGGACAAATAAAAAGAAAATTTTGCAAATCACATGCATAAACCAACCAAACCACAGCCTAGAACAAATATGGCTTAATATGCATAAGCAGATAGAGACAATATAATTCTTAATTAAACTAAAGTTAATTACACCCACCTTATAATAAACATTCAAACATAGGATGGCCTTAAGGAAAAAAATTGCCATCTACATGTATATTTACATATACAATTAAAGAACAGAATATTTTTAGAATACATACATGTAACATTTAAATTAATCTAATATTTTAGTCATTCTTAAATTCTAACCCAACTCAACACGCAGCCTGTCACTTCTCCTCGTTTCGTCACTGCATGATCACCAGTATCGTCTGGAAATCTGTTAAAGACAGGTTCTCATACCGACTAAAATAAGTTGGGTTTTCAATGAGAAGAGGAAAGTATGATGAGATACTGGCTCAAAAGCTAGTATCATGGACCTCTTAGTTTCTCCCCTTCCACAGTCCTGAGACTCCCTCATTTGCTTAGGGTTTAAATTTATCCATCCAGGGAAACTTGCCCCAACTCTAGGATTGGAATAGTTAACGAAAAGTTAAATCATCCCTCTCATCGGTAATGAGAATGGACCGTGACCCAGTGTGCCCAGAGTCAGGTGTGAAGAGGGTCTGTTGGTTTCTGGGAAGGAGGTCTTTATTCGGGGACACCGTTGAAGAAGACTCTTCCTTTCCTCTCGTTAACCTGGGTGGCAAAAGTCCTTCTATCAGCATCTGCTTATCCACCTGTGAAGCTGGAGAAGGACCTAGGGCATGTCAGGAGGCAGAGAATTTGGGTCCTGGATGATATGGCTGGACTGCTGGTTTAACTACCCTTAAATTAAGCCCTTCCTTTGAAGTTCCTGTCTGTGAGCCAAACTTTCTCATTAGACAAGGAACAATCTTAAATTGGGTTTACTCGCATAGTCAGCAACCAATATAGTTCTCTTTCCTTGGTAGTCATGGCTTGTAAGCAGGTAATTAATTCCCAATTATGGAAACAAAATGTTTGTTGCAGCCGAATGGATTTAATACTTCCAAGAAAAGAGTATGAGAGAGAAAGTGTGATTTACAGGCACCATAAATATCAAGGGGAAGATGTCCATCAATACTGAATGATTTTTACAATGCTCTTTCAGCCTATATAATGCTTAAAGTGTGCATTTAACTGAGTTTAGAGGTCTTCCATTAGTCGATTTATTTTCATTATATACAAACATTTCAATAAAGTGCAAAGTGAAGAAAATATGATATCTACCTTCATAAAGTCCACCTAGATAATCTGGGTTGTCACCTAAAAGACAAAACACAGCAAACATGCATAAGTATATAATTTGGTGTTAAAATTTTACCAACCTATAGCAACTAAAATATGCTAAATATGTATTGAAACTTTTTTAATCAAATAGACTTCTATAGGACAGGTGAAGAAAGCCTGAAAGTCACTTCCTACTAACTCTGTTCCATTCCCTAATCCCCTCAGTCTTCCAAAAAAGAAAAAGAAATAAAAGAATAACCAGAAATCACAAATCACTTTGGAAAAACTTTAGAGACTAGTAAATTATGACTATTTCATTTTGTAGATTGTTTCTATTACACAGTTGGCCATGTTAATAGCTGTGCTAGGACGATTATTCCAGAGATAGGTAATTTTCCTACCACTTGTGCTATTCTCTGGTGGTTCGGGGGTTACTGTTAAACTATGCACAGCAGGGCCGTCTACATTCACGAACATATTATCACCTACCTAATGATGACTAAAGCACAATTTTGCTCTCCTCTGAATCTTCAGGGAAGTTTCTAAGGTTGAAGAAATACATCTTTTTTTTTTCCTAGCATAACACACACACACACCACACAGACACACAATATATATACTTTCTCTGTTAAAATCATTGACATATCAGAGGTTATAGATAAATGTAATGTTGGAGAGGAATATAGAATTATATCAAGTTAATTTTTTTGGATGGCTCTGCAGACAACAAGGTGAACAATATTCTGCTCTAAGATACTCTCATAAAACCTCCCAGAAACTGAAAATTAAAAACAAAACAAAACAAAGCCCAGCATCAACAATCACTGGTGACAAAATCATTTGCTACTGATTCTCTGATTACAGCTGACTGGGTCTCTACATAAAAGTCGGCTTGGAAATAAGATTAAATTTTCCCATAACAGTCAAGCCTTTAAGCCTTTGCAAAACTTGCAAACTAAATTCGAGACTCCACTTGCCCGCTGACACAGTAAAACTCATAAGCATAATGCTCGCTCAGTTCTCATTTCACTTCTGAACCCTAAGCAGAAAATGGCATTAAAATAAAGGGAAATGAGCCAATTTTCTGCTCCGGAATTCCCCAGCAGGTAATCAAGATTAGACTAAACGAAGAACCAAATAAAAGTGGCCCCACAACTCAAGTTAGAATTTTAATACATTTCAACTAGAAGAATACCTGCTTTACCAGGGAAAAATTAAATGGATGGCTGTGCACTTCAATTCAGGGATGCTGTATGCTGCTGAGCAGTCTGTGCTTTGCACAACTCCAGGGGCACCTTTCACACTGTAGTCTGTGTGACTAGCCACCCCCAAAATTGTGCAGCAAACAGCCTGCACAGCCATCTGAGATGGCATCGCCTCGATTCATATGAGGTAATTGATTCCAGTACATTTCAGTTGCATTTTCAGGAGTTTCATGATCCCAGTGCCATCTTTAAGAAGTTCTGAGTTACACTGTGTCAGTATTATTTGTAGCTCGTGTCACCCTGAAAGAGGACTTAAAGGCTGCATCGCAATTTAAGGGGTGATTCAGTGAACACGGAAACAAGAATTCTCAGGGTTGGACTCCCTCTGCCAGTTGCTGTCATTTGGATGGCCCCTTCCAGTCTTCTGAAGTTCTTTCCCTTTCCCAAGGCCATAGACAAAATGGTGTCTGGTTGCCCCAGGGTCTTGCTGCCTCTGCTGAAAGAAAGGGTCTCCAGGGCCAAGGGAGCAAGTCATGCTTGGAGCTTCTCTATATCCTCCATTGTGGAAGATCTCACTCTGCCATGCAGTGCAACCTGAGTCTGCAAGTCTGTGTGCGCTCCGGCAGCCACCCTCCACTTCCGGAGCTCACTGTAGATGCCTGGAACCCAGAGCTCTCCCACTACAGGCCCTCTTCGTAGGCTGGTTAGACTTCCCCTTCCACCCACCCATCTACCCAACATGGCCACCCACCATCCATCAAGAGCACGCACTAATCCAAGACCCAGGAGAGGGCCCAGGAGGGAGCCCAGAGAGGTGGGCAGGGTCGTCCGCATGCATAACCGCAGAGCCTCTAGCTGCACAGCTGGGGTCACAGGTCAGAGGTTATGGTCTGGGACTAGGTCCAGCAAAGCCATGGCATTCCCCCATAGAACTCCAAGAGCCTGAGAATGCTGACCTCATTCCATCTTTTCAGGTAATTATGGACATACATTTATCAGGTAGGAGGACGGATGCTGCCTTATTTTGCAATCATCACCTTGATTTGTAATTTGTAAGTATTTGCATATAAGTGTGCAAACCTGGGTTTGTACTAGAGTGGCCAACCATGCTAGACTGCCTGGGACTAAGAGATTTACCGAGACACGGGACCTTAAATTTTCAAATGGGCAGTCCCGGACAAACCCATTCAGTCTGTCTAAGGCTGAGGGCTTCCCCTGGATGTGGGACCTGCACTGCTACACCCGGGAGGAACTGGTCACCCAGCTGGCTCTGACACTGTTGTGGACCACACACTCACAAGGGGAGGTCGGTGGTCAGCATTTGCTTTTAAATATGCAATCCCATGAAAATACGAAGACCAAGGAGTCTGAGCCAAATTTATCTCAGCCACACTTTGTAAAAGCTTCAGTGATTATGAATGATTTAGAGCCTCAATTTGCCTCATCACAAAAGAGAATTCCCAACCCCTCACCGGCACAAAGCCCGGGAGTATTAAACCAACTTAGAGGAGCAAATGTTCAGGACAGAAAAATGGGACTTGGGATGGGATCACAACTAAAGGCTTAGGAAACAGTTCCTTTCCCTGACTTACGACTCCTATCAGTACATGCCTTCTCTACCAAGTTTACCAGCAAACAATCAGGCCACATTTAAACTTTCTGAAAAGCACTGTTCATTCCTAAATTGTATGAGAAGTGTTGTCACTCAGCTTTCATTGTAGGTAACAAGCAAATTCAGTGTACGATTATAAAACTCGCAGGAAGACAATGTACCTCTGCGGAGGACGTGCTCTCCACCGAAAAGAAATGCCTCCCAGCATGCAGCATGCTGAGGCCTAGAGAGTTCACCCAGGGCTGGGAAGGATGCATGGATCTCCAGCTCATGAAGAGCACGGGCTCCAGCACTCGCAATAAATGCAGACGCAGAAAAAGAGTACCACTTTCCTTTTAGGCTTCTGGCAATGGACACCTTTTGACAGTATCTCATCATTTTAAATTATAATTTCTAACTGGTTCCTTTCACTCAGTTTACATTCGTGTGCTGTATACTGCTATGAATTGTGATATGCTGAATTTAGGGGGAGACCCCTGTTGGAGAGATTTAGGGCTCGAATGGGACAAAGCAAACCCTGGCTATGAGGAGAAAACCCCCAAAACGAGCGAATTGTACCCTTGTAATGGAGATTTGAATGTATTATTGTATTTCCTTAGATGCTACCTTACAGCTCTCATCAAGTAAGAAACAGCAGACTCCGGCAACGAGAGGTGACTGCAAGCCTTGGCTTCCTGCTGGAAAAGAAACTGGCATAGAGCACAGCAATCCGGGAACTCCATCAAGTCTAGTGGGTTACAAACAGGTGTGAAGCAGTTTCACACCTCCACAGTAGAGTGCGGAGGCTACAGCTCCTTCACAACCTAGACAGCATGAGCACCAAGGACCCCACTCCACTAGTACAGGGATCAGACATTGCCTCCTGAAGAGTCTGATGAGTGACCTGCAGTCCCACGCACACTTTTGCTTTATTTTGACCTGAGGAACGTTGTCTGTAATTATGGAAAACAGAAACTAGTCCAAAGCGCAGCTAAGTGAAAGGAACAACGGGTTAGTATTATAGCTCCAGACATTCTTCTGCACCTCCAAGAGGCCATCCCCTAGGGCAGTGAAGCTTCTAAACACAAAAGATGAAGTCGCTTTTTTTTCTTTTCCCAACAGTAGCAAACAAAAGTGCTGCACCATCTTCTTAGGCGCTAAATAACCTAAAGTGAAGGCCTTCTCATTTTTAGCTTCCAATCTCGGTTACAGTTGCTAAGTAAGTCTTAAGATTTTACATAAATCTTCATGAGTTAGTTATGACTTGATAATAGTGAGACTCTACAGTAAAAGGCAAAATACAGCTGCACGATTAAAAATGCAAATGGTGAGGAGAAGGTAGCTGGACAGGGTTAGTCACTTCGCATTCTGCCACTGGGATAAAAATAATGGTAAGACCAGGAAGACACATCCGTCTCCTTCCTTTCAGCTTACTTAGTCTCACTTTAATGCCCATTAAAATAAAGAAAGAAAAAGACTTTCCACAAGTTCCAGGTGCAAAATATTTTTAAGAATTCTACGTGATAAAACTAAGGAAAAAGATTGGTTCTCTTCAACAAACCTGTCTTTCCAGTGCTTTCTGACATGTGATGCTCAACTTTCCTTTCCCCTCCTTACTTCCTTAAAAGCACACTGAACCCCAGAACCTCAAAACATGGCTGTTTAGTCAGCTATCCTATCACTGGATTAAAAACCCTGACACAACGAAAAGGAGACGTTCAATTTGGCTCAGGTTTGGGGTGATTCAGTCCATGGTTGGCTCCCTGGTGGAAATCGTGATGACAAAGATCTTCTCATGATGCGGCCGCCAGGAAGCAGAGAGAGAAGGGAGGAGCCTGGGGTGAGAACACACAGGGCAGCACCCCTACTTGCCTCTTCCCACCCAGCCACACCTCTGAACAGGGCAGTCAGCCACAAACTCATCAGTAAAACTACTCCTCTGAAGAATACAGTGCCCCCATGAGCCACCTCTGAACTCCACCTCTGAACGTGAGACTTTTGGAGGTTATTTTAGACTTGGACCGTAACAATGAAGGATTCAAGCATCTAGATTTCACTTCTGCCTGAGCCACTCATTTTCTAAGCGGCACTGAGGACTCTCTACTTTTCTGTAACACAGGAGTATTCCATAGGACGAGAGTGGATAATAGCATTGGCTTTGGAAACTCCTCTGGAGCTTCAGAAAGCATAATTAATTAACATTAGTTCTCTTGAGATATAAAGAGCTATTTAAATATGTC